AGAGAAAAGTAAAAAACGAAAATTCAATTATCCATAGATGATAAGGCAATAATGACTCTACTTTTCTCTCACAAACACATACTCATGTGCACATGGCAAACAGGTGGAGACTTAAGTGAATGTGCATGCCGGCTATGCATATGTATGCACAAATGTACATTTCTAACTACATACTTGAGAGAGCGTTTAAGTACTTGTGCAGTAAATGAATTCAATTTCGAACATGTGTATATACATACATATACGATTACATACTTATGTTCGCATATAGTGTGAGATTGTACATTTGTGAGTTAAGTCGGTAAAATGATTCGCTGTCTAGAAATACAGAAAAAAGCATTGAAAATAGTTTCTATAAAAATTATTAAAAACTTAAGTTTCTTAAAAAATTTAATTTGAAAATACTAAAATATTTTGATTTCACATAAATATATATGTACATACACACATAGGAGCCAAATTTGAGATGACGACATATTGAGTATGAAGTGATTTCTAACGAAGAAAAAAAGAATAAAAAAATCTTATTTTATTAAAATTTGTGCTTGTGTGTTTAAACACGAGTTCGAAGATAAATATTTAAACTATAAAAAAGTGGATGAAATCAAAAGTAACTAAATAACATAAGATCAGCAAACATTTTTTTTTTTACAAAACTGTATGTACATGCATATGTATGTGCATAAGCAAACTAACAAAAGCTGTGAATGTTTGCAGGTTCAGTTGGTTAAGTCATGATATGACGTACTTGACGCTCTCTTCACGCCGCTTCTCACTATCGCGGCAAACACTCGTTAACCCCACGGTATAGCAGAAAAACGAAAAAATAGTAATGTTCGTTTGCTGGAAAGTATGATTTTTATTACTTGTGTATTGTAGTTGTTTTCTTTTTTGCTTGAAACAAGTCGGGCGTAGTTAATATTATGTAATCATGCTTTTCGTTGTTCTCCGAAGTTCTCACAGCGGCGTTATCAACAAATGACAAACACATACAACTGAACAAATAGGTATGTACAGGTGTATGTATGTATGTACATGAAAAAACTCTTTTAAATACTAAAATCGACCTACATTTTGCTTATTTTTAAATAAAATAAAAATATTTTAACAAATTTTTTCGCTGTTTATTCGTTTTCATAATAATTTATGTTGTCCTATATGTATGTACGTAAATAAGTATATACACATTTTCTATTTAATATGTATGCTTGTAGGCTCATATGGTAATGGTTAAGCCTTCAAGTGGAGTCGATGATGTCATCCGGAGCCACTAATTGAGCAAATATGTATGTATATAATTATATATTATATACAGTTGTGCTCGAAATATTAATAGTGCGTGAGTTAGAATCGTATCATTGAACTTTTACTCGTATTTGCACATGTAAATAGCAAGTACCGCTATTTAAGATAACTAAAACTATAATAAATTTAATTAATTTGAAAAAATGACTGTTTACTTGAGTCTCGAGCCTATCTGTGGTTTTTATTGTTTCATTGCGAAATGTACTATTCAAAATAATAATAGTGAAAATTGAAAAAGGTACATATTTTCACTTTATTAAAATTTTTGGAAACGAATCATAAAGCGTAGTTATTATACGTTATAATTATTAAAAAAATTAAATGATTTTTTCACGGAAAAGAAACGCAATCTCAATATAAAATAAAGAAATGAGGGAAAATTTTCTCGGAAATAGAAGGCATCCTGAGATGTACTGTACCAATAATAGCCAATACCATTCAAATATCAGAAAACCTAAAAGTAGAGGCAGTAAAAGAAAGACAATCGATGCACAGTTCGCTATAGCAAAACTGATGCTGCTGCGTCTTTGTTTTACATCCAAAAGCAATTTCTTCCAGCAGGAAAATGATCCGAAACATACGAGTCGGCTAGCCAAGAAGTGGTTTCGTGTCAAAGGGAACGAGATCATGCCTTGGTCTGCACAATCACCCGACCTTAATCATAATATAGATAACATATGGGGTGATATTAAGAAAGAAGTCAGAAAAGCTAAACCAGGCAATAATCGCGAACTTTCGCTAATAGTGAAGGATTTTTGGGAAAAAATACCTAAAGACCGTAGTGAAGGTCTAGTGAACTACATGCCGCGTCGCTGTAAGGTAGTTCTAGATAATAGTTCTATTAACTCCATTTCTTTGTATCTATTCATAATATATAATAATATTTTTAGATTAATTTTTGCTTTATTTTAGTTTTTTTCTTATTGAAAAATTTTGCAGTTTTATATACATATAATATATGAAATAAATGTTTGTTACGTTCGTACTCAAACACATAAAAAAAGTAAATGAACATTTTGTCAAAAATTCGTTAATTGACTTCTTAGCACTATTATTTATTTTGAACACAGCTGTATGTACATATATATGTGCATAAGCAGATTCATGTGTATGCACATACCATAGAGGTATATACTATGTATATACATACGTCTGTCTGCGAATACATTCCATGCCTAATTCATACAATAAACACATTTTGGTATGTATTTAGTTCATTCATTTAATATAATGTTACGTTATGTGTGTAAATAAGTATGAACATAGGTCTGAATGAATATTTAATTGCGTGTGAAAGGCAATTATAGCTTTTTTGGGCAAATAATAGTAGAAATAGTAAGTCAAACAAAACTTTGGGTTAAGAATTATAATTAGAATATATTTTACATAATTATTAAGGAATATATATATGTATGTATATATGGTATATGACTCTCAAAGAAATGCAAATGACCTACATTTAATTTTTATTTGGAGCATTGCCTTTTTGGAATTATCAGCTGTTGATTCATGAGTTTTATGCAATTAATGACAACTCTTCTAGCGCAGACGCAATATAATCTGTTCATACTTGTATATGAATTTGGTGGAGGAATGGGTGTTCGAGATTGAAACTTTCAAGTTTTAAGGACTAACTAATCAAGAACTAATTTATGGTCACCTAATTCAAGATGTTACAAACTTCGTAGTTTGCTACGGGTATAAAAATTTATGGAAAATATTTTGTATTGCATTATTATTAATACAGAATTTTGTATGAAGCATTGTATTATAGTTTTCATAGCTATTCAGCCTACACAGTATTATATGTACAAATTGGGAATAAGGAAAAACGTTTTGATATTACTTGGATGTCAAAAGGTCAACGCCATTTCCCTATGATCAACGAAGTTGACTGCTCAGAACTAAATGCTGAATCTTTTGTGGCATGCTTAAATAAATAAAAACAACAACGACAACAGCATGCTCACCAACATAGGAAAGCCCATTGCGTGCATGCACACCCTAATACAGCTCCCACACAATTCCTTCATTGCGCTGCCACCGTCACACACATACTCACACGACAGTTGCCCTACACTCTGTGTAATGTTTGACATTTTTATGTTGTTGCCGTCATTGTTGTTTTTGTTGCTCTTGCTGTTGCCACAGTTTCAAATAGTCACAGTCACTTTAGTCGAGTACCCAGTACGGACGCCACTCTCTCAATCCGATCCAAGTACCTAAAGTACTATGCGATGGGACTGGCGATGAGGCTAGTGTGTGGAAGTAAATGACAAAAAAAAAAATAGAAAAAGTAGAAAAATAAAATGTAAACCAAACGTGTAAAAATGAGCTGAGGTGTGCCGCCGCTCGCTTGCTCAGCTGAAGGAGAAACAAGGAAATTAAAATTAAATTCAATTGAACTAACTGGCAGAGAGTCAAGTGTAGGTGACCCACATTCGCGAACTCTAGTCAATGGCTTCATTTCGCCAAATCCATGTGAAGACATAATGTAAGATAAAAGCATACATATTGATAAATTCAGATAAAATTGAAGTAGTCGGGAATGCGTTTGTAGTGATTTGTGATAGAGTGTATGAGGATATGAATGCAAGCGTGCGATAAGAATAAGCACAGCATAATGAGTTTTTATCTTACATTCCTGAAACATTTTATTGCCTATATATACATATATCCCTTAATTTAAAAAAAAATTTAATTGAAGAAAAATATAAAACAAAATAAGAAAAAACATTAACTTCGGCTATAAAGCTTTTATAAATAAAAACGTTTTCATACAAGAATTTCATTTTGATATGTTACTTTTTATGGCAGGTATATGCTAACTTGGGCCGTAATCCATTCCAAATATCAAAAAAATATCTTGTCAAATAAAAAGTTTTCCATACAAGGACTCGATTTTCATCTATCAGTTTGTATAGCAACTGTATCCTACAGTGGACGGTTCCGATAAATGACCAGTTTCTTGAGAAGAAAAGGACGATTACAAATCTAGCAGGGAAAATAATGTTTCATGTGCATTTTTGTTATTGTACATTAATGATGTTAATTTGCACCAGAGAGCAAATATAATAATGGAAACCAGACCCAGAAATTTTAAGGATACATTGTTAGCCGCAGACATAATGAAATTATTTTACTTGCTTTGGCTATTTCCTTTTTATAAGAATTACTTTAATACAAAATTTAACGGTAACTTTCTAAATTAACTTTACTCCAAAATAAGTATCCCATTTGGCAAATATGTATGTACCTATGATGAAAATTTAAAAATTTTTCCCAAACCGAAACTTAAATGACTCATCAAGTCCGAGAAACTATTTTGTACACAAATCTAAAGCTTTAAATATTTGCTCTTAAATAACAAAAAATAGACAAGCTCCATATAACAAAATTATTTCCTTACCGTGACGGGAACAATATAAGTAAATGTGTATGTATGTGCCTACATACATGTATTAATATGTTTTTCTTCTAAGTACATATGTATCTACGAATATGATCGTATATAAATTAATATTTCATCATTAAACTTCTTCACTAGCGCGGCGTGGAGTATTCAGTAAAAAGTTATATCCATCCGTACATACCATATATGCATACATACGCACATACTTATACATATGCATAATAGATATGTATGTACATAAGTTACAAAATGAAAGTCAATTAGTTTACTTTCAAAAATATTCGGTGCAAACAGGCATTTTATATCAAAGCATAAAATAACTAATTTTAAATCACCAGCAGAGATTTTAATTACTACATAACGTTTCTTTCGTGATCTTTCAAGACATACAAAACTTACGGAGGAACTAATTGCAGATCAAATCGAAATATATAACAAAAAATTAGTAAGTTGAATTATTTGTAGGAATATAATAATATTTTAGTTGTAAAAAATTCATATCCATAACAACGTTTCTCACTTAACATTTTTGTGAGTTAAAAAAGAAAATATTAGTTTTAAAGTTAGCCTGGTATTATGTTTTGAATTTGTATAAGTTTCCGTTGAACAAACAGACAGACTTTTCTCATAAAAAAGCCGATTTGATACTTCCCCTCGTTCTAAAAACCACCTTCATGACATGCTTTGCCGATAATGAATATTATTTTCGCATTTATTTAACTTCTTAATTAATTTTTCTTCTTCTTTGATTTTAATGTTGCTATATTCATACATAAGTATTTAGGCATAAAAGAATTACAGCAAAAGTTCCAAATTTTGTATACACCCATAAAGACTTTCCAATGGGTATTCGAATTTATCACTTAATACTTAATCATATAATTCATTGAACATTAAAATGCACTTGTCTATTTTCTTGAATGAAGTTCCTTATGCCATTGAGAACAATAAACAAAGCAAACGGTATAAGGTGTGATTGGGTTGAAAGCAGAGCTCAAAAGCATTTACAATAGAAGTGGGAATATACAATAAGAAATTCTATAGCGATAACAGTATGAATGACGTACACTAGCAATTACAACAACTACGACATAGCGGTGATATCATTCTTCGAATTTTCGAAAATTCGAAAAACAATTGGATTCAACACTCACACAGCGCGGTATAGCAATCAGATTGCGTGCAAAACGAAGGCAAACCATGATGAATGATGCAAAGAAAATAAAACAGGGAGTGGACGTGTTTGGCTGTATGTGTTTATGTACAAGAGAGAAAAATGCAATTGTATGTGAATATTTGAAAGAATCCTCTCCGTGGTTAAAGATCATTGTCAAAAATAAAGTAAAAATATTTAACTAATGAATTTTTACCACTATCCTGCTTCATTTCTCCTTTTCTACTAATTTAAATAGTCGTTAATGAACGACAACTCTGCATACGGTTAATTCACGAATTTAATTAGTATAATTTTGTACTGTCACACATTTGTGCAACAATTTGCACTCTTCTTACCCATCTTTCTTGTTGCTCCCTTATCCGGCGCTCAAATACACGTACTCGGTCTGCTACAAATTCACTCGATATCTCGTTGTTGTTATTTTATTGCTGCCGCCCCGCTGTTGTGTGTTATTCGAAAAGCACCACACCAATATTTCTATCTATATACTCTTCTCACGTTTACGGAACAGCACTCAACACAGCACAAATTGGACAATTTCTTTAACCACTACCACACTACTCCGTAACCGATACCACACACACACGCACCAACATGTACGTACGATTATCGACTAACCAATTGACCGATTCCAACTAGAATTTTATCCTTAGCTTATTTCCAATTGCAACACCTTGTATGCACCTTTCCGCCCTTTTTCACTTCGTTGATTTTTCTACTATTTTTCAAATATAATTATTACTGCCCAGACAGTTGCGATTAACTCCTTCTCTTTACACTTCTAATATTTCAATAATTCTTTCTAAAGCACCACTGGACAAAAGTTTTGCAAATACAAATATACCGAGATCGAAATGAATTTACAATTCTATTGATTTCTAACATTCACAGATAATCTTCTACAGCCTGTTTATTAGGTATTTTTTATACTAATTTTACAGAGTTGTGTGCTACCGTTTACAATCGACACCACTAAATAGGACTTTTCTTAATTTTGCGCACCAAAAATTAACCACCACACACCCGCTTTTATTAACTATTGTCAGAGCAGAGTCTGCTTCAATTTTCGAATGAACACTATACCAGAGAACTCTATTTCGCTGTTGTCGAGCGAAAAAGGCAATGTCAAATAGTTGCGCCAAATTCATATTCTATTAATATGTGAAATAAGGCCCTAACAGGGTGATTCGCATAATATAAACAAATGTTTAGTTAATGTAAAATGGTCTAGTGAACACTAAATAAATATTCGTATGTAATGAAATAAATACAAAATATAAAACGTAAGTCACGTGACGCATCGCCGAAGTAAAATTGTTATATTTTGTGCTTACAAAGCTTAATATTAGTATAATCAAGACAGTCACCCACAAATATCATTAATACAATACTTATACGAACGCGTTGTATTTGTTTTTTGCTAACAGTGCCAAAACTAGTAAAACCGTTAACTTCGCTATTTTTTATAGCATAAAATGGTATATAAACATCATAATATTGATTGTGATGGGTCAGTTTGTATGGCAGCTAAACGATCTGAACAATTTCTCCGGATATTGTAACTTTGTCTGGGACAATGATCCATGCCAAATTTCATGAAGATATCTCGTCAGTTGTTTGTATGTTAGCTATAGCTCAAAAACTAAGGGAATAGTTCGCGTATGTACTGACAAACGAACATGTATAAATTTACTCAGCTCAACATGCTGATCATTAATATATACATATATTTTATAGGGTCTCCGATGTTTTATTTTTGGTATTACGAACTTCTTGGCAAACTTAATGGCACATCGGAATAAATGATTGCCACAACGATTACAAATACCATCAAACTCTGGGACTGATGTAAATTGTTGCACTTTTCTGATAAGCATGTTGTATACTAACCTCGACCAAAAGTCAGCTTAATTGCGCCTATTAAATGCGGGCAACTAGATCTAAGGTAGTGTAGTTGTTGTAGCGACAGAAAATTTCGAGGAATGCTGCCAAGTTGACAGGCTAAAAACTAAGATAGTTAAATAGTATAAAGCCAATTGTTTTCTCTTTTAATCCATCTTATATATAGTATATTTTGTGTGAAATGGGCGTAAGTTTCTTTCAATAACATTACCAACAAAAATAATAATATGTATGTAATATAATAATCCATATATAATTCCAAGAAAAAAATTGTAAACAACTATTTATATTTTCTCATACATCATTGATCGTATTCATACTTATTAACTTTTTAAATTATTATTGTAGATGTATGTTTTTAAAATTTTTTTTAATATAAATATATTTTTTTCCTTTTTGATTGCGGACAATTACTGATAAAATTAGCACGACAACTGTAGTCGGCCAGCAAAAAGAAACGCATTTTATGACAATAAAATATTTTCTAGTTCAAGTATTACATATTTTACATTCATTTGATTTTGTAAATAATACATACTTATTATTAAAACTATTTTATTTTAAATTTTCTTTTATTTATAATTGAGACTCAACGTATGCATGTGAATTCAATGTCAGTAAATGTTTGACATTTTCTTTCATCAAAGTTTAAGTAGCACATGTATTGTATGAGATGCTAACGGTTTCGCCTTTTTGATCTCATATCCGTTTTGTCTTTTACCTTTTGTTTTGAATTTTACACTAAACTCGATTTATTATTACACACCTGTCAGTAAGTGTGATCACCATATAAACATAATTTTCTGATCATTTCCTGTTTATATTTACTTTTCCTTTAGATTACACGCTTTAGCTTTCTTACTAAAATCAACGATTTATGTTGAACTGGAAACGGATACGATTTTTTTGTTTTTAGTTATTTGCTAAATTTTCTTTGCAATTTTTTCTCATAATATATATTTATATGTATGTATGTATCGTACAAACTTACAAATACGTAAGTTCCGCAATACCCATTAACTATGTAAAATATGCTTCAAATTTTTTTAATCAATATAACGGCATGTTAGTTATCTAGGTATTCATACTTTTAGTTACTCAATTTTAATAATTGTATATATGTACTCAGTTTATGTTTTGGGATTCTTTTATGAAGTATACACTACCACTTTATATCGTGCTTATTAGCTTAATGTTACCGCCGAGCAAGCCGTCCCCAAGAAGAACTGCAACTAGTTTGCGCTCGTGCCTATTCTTCGTCGGAATCACCTTCACTTGAGTAGCCAGTTTGTTGAGGTCTTCGTACAAAAGGCGCTGTTATGACTTGACTGAAATATTGTCAAAATTATTAATTTTGCATGAACCAAATTTCGGGAGAACCAATACTTACGCGATTCTTCGATAGTGATTCAACCATTCTTCCAGCATTTGTGCTACCAACAGTGGACGTTTACGTATTTTCTGCTGTGCCACTAGTAAGCCACCATCTGTAACACACACATCCAACCATTGTCGCATTATAGCCTCTTCGCGGCCCATCTGAAATTCAAAATAATTATTGGACTATCAAGTATGTTAGTAAAATATGTTTATTTCAATATTACCTCAGCCTGAGTTAGAAAGTGTATTGGAAAAAGTTTTGATTCACAATCCATCAACGGCAGATAACGTACATCCTCTGGTTCATCTCTACGCGGATCGATGCGGGCAAAGGGTTCCATTGGCACTAAAGCACTGAAATGTCCACGTGTATAACCGAGCGCAATGGGTGATTTTATGCAGAAATTTTGATCCCAAAATAACGGCAAGTAAAGACCTATTTTTTTTTTTAATTATACGACATTTTTTTAATAAGAAACTTATTTTTAATTATAAATTTTTTAATTTTTAATTATTGAAAATTAAAAATATAAATCAATTTTTTTCTGTTATAAAAAATTTGAAATAAAAATTAATTTTTTTTAATTATAAAAAATGTTAAATAAAAAAAGACTTTTTTTGGAATACTGGTATTAAAAATATGGAAAACAATAAATAATTGTTATTGCTACATAAATAAAGTGTATAACCTTCAAATCTCGCATAGCCGATGTCCTCGCCACGAAAGCTTTTGACATATTTTACACCGTAAACTATGATTGGTCGTCGCAATATATGTGCTAAAGCAAATATATGTAACTGCTCCAAAGATGAGCCCGGTTGATTGGCCAACGATAGCAAATTACTCCAGTCTTCTTGCCATTGGGCATCTTCCAGTGTAAAGTGTAACATTGATGCCTGCCACTTTTCGTATTCCTTCCAACGTGGATAAAAGCTGATAGACGACAAATTAATTATTAATAATACCATTCATAATGCATGTGGCAGTATGCATGTCTTACATGGGACCACATTGATGCAAGGTGTCTGCCAAGGCTCGACGCAGCGTATTGTCGCGGTCAAACACACCCCAAGTTGCCTGCATTGCCGAGTCTAATAAGCAATCGCCAGCGCTACGATTCCACAACACTAATAACCGTGAGCCCAAACGTGCTGTGATTTCCAGCGACCAATTGAGTGCGGGTGGAGGGTTTTCAAGTTGCTTTTGGGCATCGCGATCTAACAATTCATCATATAGTTGCTCCTGAATTTGTATTGGCAACTCTTCTATCTCGGCTGGCAAAGCGAATGTCGCATGCTCTTGCACATACAAGCAATTAAAAGAAGTTTTACGCATGCGTAGCGTATTAGCAAAATGTCTTCGTATATCAGCGGCTAAGTCCGGTGCAACATATGAAGGTACGCGTTTAATGCCAGGCCCAGAGCCTGAGATTTGTGCAAGCAACATGGGCAACATTTCTTCTCGATGAAAGCGTATTGCCAAATGAATTAGCGTGTGGCCCACGTCAAACGCCGAGTTACGATTCAATATAGCGATTTCAGTCGCCGTTAAAGCACGTGCAGGATTACCGCCACAGGACAAATATGCCTCTACAGCACTATAATTGTTTTCAACAACACCTTTGGAGTATGTATATAATTAATGTTGCTGAGAGATAATAATGTTAAATGAGGTTAGTTGAGACTTACCGAGGCAAGCATTTAACCACTGCCAATCAACTTGTCGCCTTATTTGTCGTGTTCGCCGTTCTTGACGCTCTTGCACCGTATCACAGTTGTTTATAGTCTCAGATGAACCTGCACGTTTATTTACCAAATATGCGCGTGTTTACTTCAAAACAAATTTTGAAAAACAAAAAGATTTTAATATATTCTCACCTAGTTGGTAAATATGTTTTTTGTTGAATGAATTATTCGTTGACACGGTCATGTCATGGTTTTCATCCTTTATGTTGAGGAATTTGTTACTTCCCGAGCCAGCTGTTGTTGTGATGGCATTGTTGTCACCCAAGGAAGCTATGCAGGTTGCATTTCCATCACGTGGCTCACCGCACATTGAACATTTAAGACTTTTTGGCCAATTTTCATAAGTACACGTCTGTAATCAAAGCACAAAATTAAGTCAAATATTTATAGTATTTATATTTATAAGAATGTATCTTACATTACAGGCCCATTTGGCTACATAACAGTTCTGTAGAGATGTGGACGACTGATTGTGCTGTTGTTGTTGCTGCGATGAATTAGCAAGATTATTTAAGTGTGTTGTATTAACGGTTGTGGTATTTGTCGCGACAATCATATTGGCATTAGACGACTGTTCAAATGGACTAAGTCTATTTGAAGCGGCACCGACAGATTGAATATAACTATTGCTTGCTTTTTTATGAATTTGGTCAGTGTGGCTGCTTGCTTCATTTTTATTCGATTCCGCGTTGTTGCTAGTATTCAATTCCATATCATTAGTGATACGTAGTGATTTTAACTGTTCTTTAAGGTTACTCGACAAAGTTGCCGAAGAGTTCGTGGTGATTACAGCTGCTGGTGTTTCGTTGACGATATCCACGGTTTTTGATCTTTTTTCAATATAACCTTGCGAACTATCAATTGTATCTAAATTTCCTGTAGTAGGTAATGAAGCGGCCGCCGCCTCACCCGCATTGCAAATATTTTGTTCGACATTAACATCAACAGCAGTGCCCCGCTTGCTGCAACATTGTACACAACGCAAACTTCGTGGCCAGTTTAGGTAGGTGCACATTTTGCAGGCCCATTTAGCGCAAGCAGATGGGGAGGCCGTAGCGGGTGTTGTTGAGGGCACATCTTGCCGCGACTGTGCATAGCAAGCGTTAAGGCTGGATGCTTCCACCACATCAGCAGTAGCGCCACGCTCCTCCTCGCCACCAAAGGCAGTTTGCGGTGGACTTAGTCTAGAAATTTATATTTAGACGTTAGTTTGTTCAGAAGTTAATAAAATATATATGTGTATTTTATTTACCGAAAAATATCCTCATTCAACAGTGGCTTCGCACCTTTACACATGGTGCACTTAAGCGACGAGGGAAAGTTTTCATAGGTGCAATAATCGCATGTCCACTTTTGTACTTTGCTGTCATCTGAATCGCACATCTCTTTAGTCGGCAAAGCAGTACCTTGAGAGCTATCCAAAACTCAAGCTAACTGCGTTTGGTCGATCGTTTGACAAAACCACAATTCACGACACTGCACAGCACACTTCCTGAATGTCCGATTTATAAGTTATTTTAATGGGAGATCTGTATTTGTCCAATCTAATACCTTTTATAATCCAATTGGAAAAGACAATACGCAGCCAGAATGTTGAAGGTTAATCGTACTTATCAATTTAACCTTAGTATAACCGTATCTTTTTGTAAGGCAGATGGAAAACGTTATATTGGAGGACACTAAAGGCGCAAACGTGTTTTTTCGGCCAAGGACAATGGTATATATATATACATCAATGAAGGATGAAAGCAGCGTCAAAGAAAAACAAAAACAAACACAAATGTGATTAATTAAACATAGGCAATGCCAATTGGATATGTCCTTGACACTCAGCCACAATATTTCTTAGGCATCTATAAATATGTTCACTGCACCTACATACATATGTGTATAGCATTGATAATGCAATATAATTAAAATTGAGAAAAGTTTGCGCTTTTCACATTGGCACAATGGCGCTGGTCCGAATTCCAATGTCGGAATTGGCACAAAAAATATTTAGCAAACAAATTACAACAATCACACACACATGATTTTCACACGCGTCGATAATTTCTAATTGTGAATATAATTGGACCCAAAACAAAGGAATACGGAACACTAAGTGGCCAACAATTAAACTTTCACTGCATCACCAATATTGTGGGAAAATTGCATGAAAGCATTAAAACATATTCACCTCCCGCCCCTTTGCTTGTACGAATAATTGCAGCTAAACACGCATCCGTACTTGAAATCGACGTGCCGCAATTTTTTTTATAAACTTCGAATTTTTATTATTTCATGATATTGATTTGCGTTTTCTATTTTTTTGGAATTTTTGCAGAATTGCAACAAATAGAAAAATTGTTAAATTCGACTGAGGAAAATGAAAATGGACCACAAATTTATTACGTCAATATTTTGACAGTTTCAATGCGTTTGCGATAGTGGTAAATAATTGTAATGCGTTCGAAAATTGAAATAAACGTATTATTTTACTAACAAGCGTTTGCATTCATACTTTTGTGTATATGTAAATATTTTGAATTTAAAAGGTTTCATGTAATTTTGTATAATAATAATTTTACAAATTCAAATATATTTTAATTGTGACATTGATCAATGCATTTCGTTTATCAAAATTATTTCTTACTACATTTCGATTAAAATTGTGTAAGATTAATTTTTGAGACATAGTAATTAATCTGTATAAGATTATAATAGTTTATATAATCCTTCGACTATTTGCACTTGTGTTGATTTTATCCATGACTCTGGTTATGCACTTGTAAAAGCAATTAAACATAGCTCGTCATGAGCTCAAGGCAAAACAAAGAAATCATCATTAAATTAAAAACAAGCAATAAAGAGAAACAAAGAAAGTTATTGAAGATCGGAAGTGATTTCAGTGCGTAAACAAAATAAATAAATATCTCTCATTATTTGAATAACAACAAGTCAGATAATAATCAACGTGCATTGTCTAATAAGTAAATATTGTAGTTGCTACATAATTCTCTAATATATTCAAACGGGAGTGTGAATTCCAAGTGGTGTGAATTTAGTGACAAGGAATAGTTACTTGACGTGAGTAATGATTCATTTAATTTACAGATATGTACTATATATGCATGCCGTTTTAGTGGAAACCGTTTTTATTTAATGCCTTTGTTTGTGGTTTTGGTACGGATACAGGTTTAGTTATTTAAATCTGATTGCGCAGTTCTGAAACGATTATGGTTGCACAAACAAGTAAATATGTATAAGTGATGCGCTTATAGGTATACATTCATATACGCATAGACATAAATATACATATACACATACTTAAGTACTTGTAGTGATACTAATATATATGATAGGAAAATAGTCAAGTTCGTGGCCAAAGTTTTTAGTTTCTGTTCGTATCACCTTGATGCATAGATAACAAATACTATTTCGCTTATTAAATAATTTATTATTGTTACAAATAAAATACTTACCGTATATATGATTATTGCAAGTATAATAATTTTTATATTAATGGTTGGCATGACTAAATTTTCTGTGGATTGCCAGTGAAACGATCGAACATAAAAACGCATACGCATAGCAACAACCGCTTCCATTTGGGGTGGAGAAAGTGTTAACCAGTGGCTAAATTACTAATGCCGCCAGGAAGTAGGTTGTAGACACCACTTGCAGCAAACACATTTACCAAGCGTTTACTGGTTACAGTTATCACATAATTTTAATGTATTAATTGCGCCGCATCTTGCCAGTCAACGAAAGCCATGAGCATACGCACAAGGGCACTAGTCTTTTCAACCTTCTTCGGGAGTTGCATCGCAATTGGACTCCTGCTGGTCAGTTTAACAACAAATCATTGGGTACGTGCCTATCCGAAGCGCCTCAATTCCACAGTAAGTAAATCAAGATCTGCACGTGGTGCAATGCAATGACTGATTGAATATCACTATACTAATCTTTAAATTTTAATTTTTTTTTGCCAGGATTCTAAAGGTGATATTAACTTTGGATTATTTTATGGCAACAAAGATCTAGACTATGGCTTTGGTGTACGCACCTCAGCTATTACTGGTAAGTAGTGTAAATACATACATTTATCCATTTTTTTTACCCTGTACTCTTGGTTTTAGTGTACACATTCGATCAAAATGGCCCGGAAACGATGAACTTTTGGCTTTGGCTGATCACAGCTTTGGGTACTGGCTTCGGCTTACTTACATGTGCAATTTCCGCAATCGCAGCCGTATTAAAGGCTGCATCAGCAGCAAAGCGTCCTGCAACTATGGTACTACTTTTCGCTTCTAACATTTCATCGGCCGCCGCTCAGGTGATCGCTTTTATATGTTGGCTTGTTCAGTTCTATCAATATTTGCAACAAAATGTACTTGCTGTACAAGATCGTCATTGGTATAGTCATGGTTTAGCTTATTTGGGTTACAGCTTCTACTTGGTAATTGCATCTACACTTGTTGTTATATTGAATATTATCATATTACTGCATGCCAAACGTCGAGAGCAACACGATCGCCAAAGACTTGAGCCTCCCAGTGAGGTGAAGAATCAAGGCTCCATAATGTTATACTAAGAGCTTACGCTTTATCCTCATAGAAATATTTTTTAGTAAAAAAAGAACCAACTGATGTTAATTTATTATTCGTTGGCGTTATTAATGAATCTCAAACTGCAAATGATCATACTCGGAAATTGTTATATATCCTAAAAGGGAGTTAATTTCTTATCCATATTTATGCATGTACAGTTATGTACATATGTAATAGGTAAATAGCATTTAAAGTATATACATACTCTACTATTTTATTGGACTGCCTACTTTATCAACCACTTAGTTTAGTCCTATTTCGGGTTTCCGTTAAATCTACTTGTAATATTTAAAAAAATATGTTTTGAATAAAATAAATTTTGAAGTACCTACCAAATGTATGACTCGGTGAATGATTGTCTTATATTTATAATTATGCGAGTTCTGACTCAGTGCTTACTTCGGTAGAAAAACTTAAAACATTTTCAATAAAATTTCAGTGGTATGTTTGTTTCTTCTACAATCGTTGCTGGCTGCGCATGTGTATGCTTCAACAATCGCTGTCGTAACTACCAAATTACAAGCATAGGCCAGCGAACAGCAGAAGGTATACGGAGTAACCAAGTTTAGCACGTCCATTTGAGTAGAATGTGAATTCAGTGCGTAGAGTGTCCGCTATGGAGATATTGTTTGTCAAATGTTGAAAGTAATGTGTTGTCCAGAAGATAACGGTTGAAAATGCAAATACGGAATTCACTCCAATCCAAATAAATAAACCGAAAATATTGAATATGCGTTCTACTGGGTTCTTGTACAGGTTAATTATTGCAAAAGTCAAGGCGCATTTGACGAAAGTCAGTTAGAGTTAGCATTAAGGATAAATAAATAAAACGCAATGCCACCAGTAGGCTGGTATGTAAGCTTTATCATTGATGGCGTTTTCTGCATAAAAAATTAATGACTTAATGAAAATTCTTACATTTGAATATTTGGAATAATACTTCACTCACGTTTGAATAAGTTGATTTTTGGGCTCCAGCTATTTCTCGTCTTTGGAACCATCTTTCTCGTGCAACGATCTGTTCACATGGTATCGTGGTTATACCTGAATGTATGGGATTTAGTTCGTCGAGTCGCATGGTAGCATTATGTTGACAGTTATACATACAGAGACCAATGTCGAAATCACAGATCAATAAAATTATTGAAAATTTACTAAGATATTTGTATAAAAATATCAATTTACATACATATATTGTAATCCCTGTATGTATGAATATGTGTTTTTATACCTTGATCAGGGATAGATACCGATTCTTTTCTCCCCAAGTAGCTGCTCATTTGTCGAAACCGCTCATATCGCTGTAGGACTTTTTTATTTGACAAAGTACCTTCACGAAAGTTAGCATAGATTATTGCCCGAGACAATGCCCTATAATCTACCAATATATTGTTCAGATCGGAACATAATAATTCAAACTGATCGATCAAAAATAGAATACATATTGCCATAATATATCTATTTCTATTATTAAGTAACTTTAATTCGACTTGAAAGTTGTTTATGTCAAACAACGTGTCTAGAAAGACCTGGCAAAACGTTTTCCGTTGATGCAAACCGTTGGCCGGTTACCTTATCAGAATCAGTTATACATATAGTTGTTATAAGAAATGCACCTCCGAATCGGTTCAGCCGAAGTTAACGATTTTTCTTGTTATTTTTGTACATATTTTCTCATTCCGGCTTTGAGATCACAACATACGGAGCCTCGACAAATCCTCGTTATCATTTATGCTCGATTTTTACTCCGGAAATCTTAAGCTTTGACTCAATTATAATGAAAGTAAATAATTACTAATACACAAATACATGTGTATGTACAATATATTTGTTGATAACATACCCCCAAGATCAAATACCAAGTTCGATGCTAATTGTTGACGATTCAGACAGCCCGCGTTGAGAGTACGGCCGTTGCTCTTAACTTATAAGGATAATTATAAGTTTTTGTGGAATTTTTATGTAATTTTCATACGTATAGACACTCCAGATATTCTTATCTATTTATTCACTTAGCAAAATGTCTATTCATACATATATTTATATGTATGTTATAAGCGGAAATTGGCTAATTGACTCAATTAAGAGGTGTAGAATTGACGTGCCCAATTTTCTGGGTCTGGGTTCTCGAATATCTATGTTCACAATAAAATCATTTCAAACATCTCCCAGCTAAATCAGCTGCGACACCAATCATTAGAGCAAAATACAATCTTATCATTAAAGATGAAATTCGTAACATTTTATCAACGATCTTGGTTGAAAGGCAGACTACATACATACCTAAAATGCAAAGCAACGTACATACATAATATCCAAATATACGAAATGGAGTTTTTATTGAGTACGATTCACTACATTATATTACATACTTATGTATTGTATATCTGCAAAATTTAAAGCTTGTGCAATTACCATACATATAACAAAGTTATCATATAATATCATGTATGTATGTAGTATATACAAGGTGCGTTCCAAAGTAAACAGTAAAAGAGTAAACAGTAAACTATAGTGGCGCCATCTATATTGTCGACTAGTGTCTATCCTTTATCGACTTCCAGTAAAAATTTCATGACATTTCATCTATTGGAAGTGAAGTTATTTCGTTTTAAGTGTCAGTAAGTTTTTGTCATCGGTGCGAAAATGGGTTCGACAAAAGAGCCAACATTAAATTTGGTTTTAAAATTGGTAAAACTTTTACCGAAACGTTTCAATTGATGAAACAAGTTTATGGCGATGATTGACTTCCGTAGCAGAGTGCACGAGTGGTTTCAATTTTCAAAGTGGTCGTGAGGACATAAATGAAAATGAGCGAATGTGTTTATATGATTATCCAAGGGTATTGTCCACAAAGAATTTGTTCCACCGGCCAAAACGTTAATGCGGTATTCTACCTTGGAGTTTTGAAGCGTTTGGTGCGCCGTATTCGACGTGTTCGGCTGAATATAATGAAGATGAAAGTTGGCGTTTGTTGCACGATAATGCGCCGTCTCATCGATCAACGCTTGTGGCCGATATTTGAAAAAAAATCACATTTTAACAATCAACCACTCCCCGTATTCACCTGATATGGCACCGTGCGACTTCTACCTGCATGCATGTGCCGATGAAAGGAAAGCGTTATGCAGACGTGGAGGCCATTCAAAAGGCTTGCACCGGCATACTGGCGGCCATACCGGGCAACGAGCTAAAACACTAGTTCGACATGCTTTTGGACCGTGCTAAAAGCTGTAATAAAGCAGAAGGAGACTATTTTGAATAAAATTAATTGATTTTGCCGATAAAACTACTTGTTCTGTTTTTTGATTTTTGGTTGTTTTTTTGAAGAACATCTTTCTAAAATAAATTGAATCCTAATTGATATACATTTTATGTTATGTTTGAAATGAATTAAAATGTTTTGGTAAATATGTACATACATTGTTTTTTCGCCTCTTTGATCAATCAATAGGGTTGCGAATTTTTTGATTCAAACATTTTGGATTTAAAATTAAATTTTCATTTTTTAATTTTAATGTTGGGATTAAAAATTAGATTTTATTTTAAATTTTTTAACCAAGCTGTTTGGGACTATAAATTTTAAGTATTATTTTTTGATTTGAGTGTTCGCGAAAAAATGTTAGTTCTAAAGCAAATTCTTTTTTTAATTCTTAATTATATGTTTAATATTAAAGCTTTTTTTATTTTTTAGTCCGGTATGTGGGATTAAATTATTATTTTTAATCCGGTATTTTTATGTCCGGTATTACAATTTTTTTAATTAAAATGTTAATTCAATTATATTTTTAATGCATTATTTGCAACACTGTCCATCAGTAATTGGTACTCTCACGAGCAATCTCAAACCAATTGAGGAAACCTGCAAATGAAGCCGAACTTTCCTCAGAAGGCATCTTTGTATGAGCCGTCTAGTGCGTTGATTTGCATTTCGAGTGCATCTGAGCCACTTAATTTTTAGTAGTAAATCAAAAACTAGAGACTTATGAAAGGCCAAAGAAGCCTTGACTTATTAGATGACAAACCGCAAGGCATTTGGAGATCTAGAATTAAAGTAAAATTAAAATGTATAGCTATTATGAGATTGGTAAGTTAGTTTCCATATTGTTAAAAGATCTTTCAATTTAAACTACTATAAGTTTGAAATTAAATTTGGTATTGAACTTTAAGGGGTTATATCCACACGCATTTAAAAAAAACGGAATTTTTGTGAATTTATTTGTATGAGCATTTTATTTAATACATAAATAAAATAATAGTACATTTACAGAGTTTAATGTACTTTAATAATTGGTGATTCATTTGAAAATGTTTGGTGTCCTTTGACTTCGCAGCCGACCTCAACGAGCGTTTCCGGAAAATAGATGTCTGGCGGTGAGGTAGAAATTTTAACTAAAAATTATCTCAAATCCAAAAACCAAAAAAAAAAAATTATTACTTTAAAAGAAAACATTTAATGATCGAGGGCCAAATAGCGCCTTGCCAAAAAATCATATTTTGTGAGAAACATTTATATTTCGGAATAAATTAAAAATCGAAATTAGTATTAAAAATCTTGTTCCTTCAAATATGTACAGCTGTGTTCACAAAAATAGCAGTGCGAGAAATGCAATCAAGTAATGTTATTTTTTTTCAAGTTCCGTTACGATTATTCCAACGTCTACGCATTGTTGTCGTAGAATGGAATGTGTATAAGGAAGAAAAAAGTGCGTATCTTGATAAGCCAAAAAAATTTGATAAAAAGTAAGTGGTTTTGTGTTAGTGACTATTATTAACATTAGAAAACACTAAAATAAATTTATATTTTTTAACTTAGTGGGCAGGGGCAAGCATTGTACTCCTGAAAAAAGAAGTATTATATTGCAACTAAGAAACCTGGGAAAAACATATAAAGACATCCAAGAAATATGTGGATATTCTGCTAAAATGATTCATAATGCTTTAAACTTTAAAGAAATACCCGAAAATCGTGGTATCCAACGTAAAACCAAACCTCATGAGGACCGATCTATTGTGCGATATAGCAGGGCGCAGCCTTTTGCATCGTCCAGCAAGATAAAAAATGACTTAAGCTTTAATGTTAGTGGCGTTACTATTCGGCGACGTCTTAAAGGACAAAATCTCAAAGCGTGCCATCCACGAAAAGTTCCACTGTTAGCCACCAGACATGTCAAAGCACGTTTGGAGTTCGCCAAAAGTCACCTTAATTGGCCCATTACAAAGTGGCGAAATATTTTATGGAGTGACGAAAGTAAAATTGTGTTATTTGGTGGAAAGGGCTCCAGACAATATGTCAGACGTCCACCTAACACAGAGTACGATCCTAGGTACACTTTGAAGATAGTTAAACACGGCGGATTGAGTATTATGGTATAGGCATGTTTTTCTTACAGTGGAGTGGGCCCTATATTCTTGATTGATGGGATCATGGATCGATCTGTATATGTTAACATATTAGAAAATATTATGTTTCCTTATGCCAATTGGGAAATGTCACTAAAATGGACGTTTTAACAAGATAACGACCCCAAACATACAAGCAAACTGGTCAAAAGCTGGATGGCATCAAGGCGGATCGATCTTATGTCATGGCCTGCGCAGTCTCCGGATTTAAATCCAATTGAAAACCTATGGGGAGATGTTAAACGATATGTTGCAAATGCAAATCCAACATCTCGATCACAGCATTGGGAGGTTGTTCAAAAATCATGGGAGCGGATCCCTGTCAAGCGCTGCCAGGACTTGGTGGATTCTATGCCTAGCAGTTGCCAGGCCATAATAAAAAATAATGGGTACACGACTAAGTACTAACCCAAGCAAACAAATTAAAATAGTTTTTTTGAGTCCAACAATGTTTTTTTCAACTAATTCCACTGTTTTCATTACTCACTGCTATTTTTATGAACAGCTGTAAACAGCACTTTTTTGTTTAAATTAATAATGTAAAAAAAATTAACAACATTTTGAATAATAAATTGATGTGTTTTTGTTTAAAATAATCACAAAGTTAAAACAAAATTAAATTTGTGAACATTCATTTACTTTTTGATATATAAAATTAAGTTTAAAGTGGTAGCTCATGAGCACTGCTATTTTTATGAACACAGCTGTATGTACATACATATTATATATATACATATATGTTGTCTGTACAGCTGCCAGAAAACAAATAAGTAGATGAATTTGCACATATAATTATTTTCTATGAACTATACAAATCGCAATGCTGTTGCTAATTAACGGTACTACAAATGAGACGAATATTAAACGTTATACCCAAACAAAATATGTGAAGCAAGAATACTGCATATGAAAAAAAAATTTACCGTTATAAATTCACGAGATACACTAAAACAAAATTTTGCACATACATATAAAATAATGCTTTTACGAAGGTAAGTATATGCAAAGCAATCGATTTTTTGAGATCTCAGAGTAATCTTGGAAAGCTCGTTTGGCAAGAAAAATGTTATGATGAAACAACTGTTACAATAATTGTTATTTTAATTTAAAAATGTTATGCGTCATAAGTTATGGTTTTTCTGTCAAGACAATAATTTTTAGGTTTTGAAATGATGAAATTTGTGTGTGTTGTGATTGCAAAAGAAAAACCTGTATGCGTCGAAAAGTTTTGAGATATGGAATTCTAATCTGGAACCTTCTAGGAGATATATTTATTCGAAAGGCGACAATGAATAAACGTACAAATATGAAATCCGAAGAAAACGTTTGCCAGATTTCTTTTAAATAGAAAAACTTTCCTCGATTTAAATGGCACATGAATTTCTACAACTCAAAGAGTGGTAGCCCCGCATCAATACACTCCGCTGCGCTTTTGGTCAAGAAGGTTTTCCAAAATTCGGTTCAAGATATTGCAAAACTAATCCAAAAAGTCTTTAAAATATTTGGACATATGTACATAAGTATATGGATCTTATTCTGTGGGAATGTATTTATTGTAGTATCCAACAATGTATTAAAGGAACCCCTGTAGGTTTTCTCATCAGCAGTTTCCTCGCTAACCACAGCGTCGCCCCCAAATGAAGACACTATTTATTGGGCAATAATATGCAGTGCTGCACAATCTTACATACAAACAACACTATATGTGTTATATGCACACATGTATGTATATACATACATATGCATGTATTTGGTCACCTTAGTGCGCAATTCTGTATGTCATTGCTCGCTAACATTTCTTGCTTCGGTTTGTGTAACACTGAACAGTCAATTGCCGGAAAGGAAGTAGATCCATGCGGAATTCTTCCGTTTTGCCTTTTCCTAGCAACAGCAACAACAACATTAGTATGTACATACATATCTTCATCAAAGCAGTGAATTTGTGAGCCAGAGAAAACATCACAATAAGGAAACGCTGACGATCAGTAATTAGAGGAAGTGCTGCCGCTGTGTCTTTGTCCCGACATATCTAAACAAACTACATTCATACAATTAATTTGAAGAATGACTACTCGTACAATCTATACCACTGGGATGGAGAGTAGTAAAAAAGGCAGAGTGAACTGTGAAATAATGCCAATTAATTGATTTGTTTGCGAAATGTCACAGTTGTGACATAATGACACCGTTTAATGCCTTATTTGTTTCACTTTACTTTTATTTACTGGGTTTCCTTTGCATTTCTAAGACGTTCGTTTGAGCGATTGCTGTGGGCCCAGCATGTGTGGCGATCATCTCCCTGTGCAGCCAAATAGGTGTCGAGCCGTAGGCGCACTCAATTAGTCGTGTGTGGTTGCCGTTCTGCATTCGTATGTTCGAAAGAAAGAAACGAGTATTGCTGACTATTTTGACATTTAGAACACAATAACAGTGTCAAGAATGCACCACAAGAGTCCATCCATCAAAATCGTCTAAAAATACCCACATACATATAAACATGTTTCGTTTTTTAATTGCTCAGCAAAAATTGAAGGAATTTCAGTAAAATGAAGCAATCTTGCAGATGTGTGCCAAGAACAATCATACGGCATATTTATTTTTTGATATACGGTGATGTTAGTTCTAAAGATAATTAAAATTTACCTTGCAAAGCAAAACTACCAGGTGGTTTATATCTTTTTTAATAATTTTTCAGCCTTTTTATTTTTTATATATCCCACTTGCTTTTCTGTATTGTTAGAAAATCTATTTAACAGTTATAATTCATCTGTATCCTTTGCCGCTTACCCTCAAACTTGAATGAGTTTTATAAGAAATCATTTTCTCCATTCTTGAAAAATTGGATGTTTTCCATTCGGTGGCTATCTGCTTTAGCAAACTATATTTTATATTCAGCAGAGTTATGATATAGTTCGAGATTCTCATAATAACATGTATAAATTTCATCAGTCTTCAACCGAATATAAATTACGGTTATGTAATAAGCATGCAGTAGAGTCATATCCCTTAATTATATGGTATATTTTCCCACAATTTGCAAAAAAAACACTGTAAGTTCGATTACTACAACTTTCTTACATATTTATCTTTTTTCGTATATAGTTAAATTTATAAGGAATCGATGTCATTGATTGTCATATTTCTGCAAAACACCATAAAAAAATGATAAGAAAGACATTCAATTGATCGGTTTTCACAAAACTGTCTCCTTATACAAAACAATTTACTTTCGTTTATAATTATTACAATATTTCCTTTGAGTTACGAATTAAGATATTCTCAATTTTTGCTAGAGTTTGCTCGATAACCCACAGAGACATTCAAGGGCCCCTTGCAACATAAACAATCTCAATAAACCACAAAGCAACCAAAACAAGCAAAGAAATTGCATTATTTGACTGGGTGGCCCAAACGGTAGTTTCGCAATGAGGTTCCGTTGCCATAAATTACCTGCCACACAAGTTGCAAGCAGAGAACGGAGAACTACTATTAATTGTTTGCTCTGATAAAGGACATATTTATATCATTCAGATTTTGACTCATCGTATACTTTGCGAGAATTTAGTGAAAAGAGTGAATGGCAGGCGCAGAACAAAGGCCTAAAGAGGAAACAATAAGAAGTGAGTGAAGTGAGAAAGAAGAAAGTAAGGCCAAAGAAATCCCCATACATTCTAAATTACCAACACCTTTGGTGGCAAACATTTTAGTTGGCAATAAAGCATCGACAATGTCAACAATACGGATCCCGGCGAGTCCAATTCATTTGGGCTACCTTACACGCAGCCACAGAAGCGCAACCAAAGATCGCCATATCAAATTTAGCCAAAAGGTAAATATCATTATTACACTTATAATAATGCTTAAGATACTCGTAGTGGTACTTGGATGGATGCGTTTGCGTTCGGTGCCACCAATGGTGTTTGGACAGATCAACCCCTAACTATGTAGTATGTGCATCCATCGTGAGGATGCGTGTGTATGTGTAATGATTAGAAAAAGGGGCACTTTTCATATTGCAACACCACAACACAAATTGTTTTTCCTTTCTCTGCACAATCACAAGAACATGAATGTATAATGCATATGTATATAAAAGTCTTTTCCTTTCTTCTGTCCATCGCTAGCGCTGCTTGAATTGTCAGATTCTTTTAATTGGGAAATTTATTGCACGAAACTCTATTCAGTCGCGTTGTTGCCAATATGTCTGGTCGTGCTTAGGTAATTCCATATTCATCTGAAGTTCGCAAGAAATGGCAAAAAGACAGTTAAATATATAACAAATAGTATATGATCTGTAATTTAGTTGGAAAGAAATTATGGTTGTGATAATATATGTATGTATTTATTACAAACAAATTTTAAATTTCTCTTTAAAACGCCGCAGGTGTTGTGACAGCTAAGAATCCTCTAATAATCTAGTAGTGTCTTAACGTAAGTCGAGAATAAAGAATTCCATTACTTCGTTAATTTTCGGATAGGAAATTCATGCTCAAATATAGAACGTAATACATACATTATGTCAGAAAAAAATTTGTTCGCTATACTTTTGATATACTCCAATAATATGCTTCCAAGAGGGTGATAGTTTGTTATCCTAACGGTTATTTGTTAGATGTTAATTTAGACCTAACAATCATCAATTAAGCTTCGTAGGAGATTAGAATGAAATGAGGCATAACTACGCCCACCTCCTTCATATAGGATTATTAGCCTTTACCAAAACATACAAAATATTACTACTAGGTGGCGCCCCAGTTAACCTATTGCTAAACCCGTACAATGGGGTGGGAAAAACTTTGTTTTTTAATATCTTAGAATATAGATTTTAAAGTACCGATTAACGAACCCTTGAATAAATGAATTAAAAATCGATGGTTTTATAAGAATGTCAAAAGCCGCAGCCACTGTTTGAAGACAGTGTAAAATATAGTAAATATGATTCACTTAATAGTTAATATTTGCTCAGAATGATCTATGATATTAGGGGAAACTAGAGCAGCCTCTACGTATGTTGAGCTATTAAGACATCGGTTCAATGGATCAAGCTGGAAACTCAACTAGATCGTATATATTAAGTAATCGTAAGTGAATAGAATAGACGGTCAAATGGTCGTCACAAACGAATGGCTGCTGTCGAATTTAAAAATTAATTATTCCGCTAGATAAGTGTTAAATTGATGTAGATTCCATTCAAAACAGAAGTAACTTATGTAAGCAGTGAAAGCGGGAGCGTCCCAAGTGAAACGTACGAAAAATGCAAGAATGATTTATGGGGATACAGAAAGCTCACACAGTCTCTAAAAACTGAATCATTATAATTCTGGTCTTGCCATGTCGTCTACGATCCGAATTTATGGCAACATCTTTTGGAAAAGATTTCAAGATTTTATTTTTTTTGTTTAATCAGCTATTTGTTACATAACTTATCGCTTTTATGCAAACTAAATATTTGTCGATGAGACATTCCAATACATATTGCTTGCATATGGAGGCATATTTATACATGCGAAAGTACAAGTATATATTAATAAAATCGATAGAGTTTTCCAACGACGAAAATTCCCATATTTTTTATCGCTGTAAGGATGAGTTACCAAGATATGGTATAAATCCGACGGATAAATTCAGAACCTGCAAACAGCGAATGCGCAAATATTATATAATCTTACGTATATAAACAAAAGTGCATTTACATCCATATGCATGTATGTATATTCATTCTTAAATATTTAAGTAGGAGTACGAGTACCTGTGTAAAAAAGGCACTTTGCTTCGAGTGTCACATGTTCAAAAATCCTTCGTGTTAAATATTAGTATGGACATGCATCGTACATATGTATATATTTATGTGCAAGAGGGTGCAGAGATATTGAAACTGACCGATAGTAGATGTCACTTTCTAGCTGAATATACATCGATGTATATGTATGAACAAATGTATATACTATGGGCGCTGGAAATATTTGGTCACGTAAGAATAACGAATATTTATTTGCATACAAAGAGTATCGATGCAATCGTTCAAAAGTTCCTTTGTTCCAGCGCGTTGATGGGTATTTTTCTCTTTGAGCCTTGTTTCTACTTCTTCTTCTTTCTGTCGGCGTGTAATCTACGATTTGCCAGATTATGTAGCCCCTGTGCCTTTACTACAAAGGTGGGTATGTCCCAATAACCGCTAAATGGTGAGCTTATCTTCTCTAAACGTTTTTAATACCCTACAAGTTGATTGTCTGTGCATAATCTGTGGTTAATATTGTTGTTTGCTTGCTTGTCTTCAAAATTTTGATATTTTCATTGCTCTACGCTGTTGTTCCATACATACCTAACATGCTTGCCCATATGTGTGTACATACATATTTATATGTGCTGAAAATAGGGAAAATTTCGCTTCACTTTCGCTTTCACACATACCCATACGTACGTCTGTGTAGTTGCATGTTGCATGGCTCCGTGCAAATACACGCATGCGTACTTTCGGGCAGGACAAACCGAGTCGAGCGGTCGATAGGATTTAAGTATGCAAAGATTCTATTATTTACATGTTGGCACGTACGACGGACGGTATTTGCAGCGTAATGAGCTGGCTATATAAACAATGTGGCATATTTGCTGAGCGACCGCAGACCTGAGTTATCCTGTCTGACGCCGTCGGACACCGGTGGCCGACTCACTGTCAGCGCTAAGAATCCGCAAGTGTGAATTTCAGTCGGTATGTACACATGCAGACACTCGTAGTTCGGAGTGAAATTTCGTATGTGCACGTGAAACCGCACCTACGCCCCTTAGGTAGATAATCACCTCATTAGACACGTTGATTCCAAAGTGGAAAACAGAAAACTGAAACTGAAAAACATTTGTGGATTTTATAATAAGCCAAATTCCAACGATCGTGGGTAGAATTTCTCGCCAGTATTCTGTGTAAATAAGTACAGATGTTAATGATGTTTATTATAAGTTTTAAATTAGTAATTATCTCTTATTATACCATTTACATATTGCCACGAGTTTTGTAACACTCAGAATTAACTGTCTGTCTGTCCATATACACGCAAACTAGTTCCTCAGTTTTTGAGATATTGATCTGGAATTGCTGTTGGAACCGCCGATATCGAAGTACTATAGCTTTTTCGGAACCGTGATATCGGACCACTATAGCTCGTAGCTACCTTGCAATCTATACGATCAAAACCTTGTTTTTGTATGTATTGAATCTTTACGATATTTGACATGGATTATTGTTTAAGGTAAGGTACGGTACAGTCTCCAAAGAAATTGTTCAGACCGGTTCACTATAGCGTATAACTGCCATACAAATTGGCTGATCAAAATCAAGTTCTTGTATGAAATCTTTTGTATTTGTTTAGGGTATTTTAGCTTTGGTACAACCGAAGTTGAAGTATTTCTTGTTTTTTTTGTAAACAAATATACATTTTCTTCTAAATTACTGTCCGTGTTAGTTGTTCTTCGGGGCTAAAATTATTTCCTGCGAGAATGTTCTTGAGATCTGATAACAAGAAAAGACGCAGATCCGGTAAGAAAGCTCGCACCCAACTTGATCAACTCATTACTGTGATATAATATCTTTAGAGTGCCAATTAATTTTAAGTCAATTTATACATTTTTTGAAGCTTGTGCTGTAACAACATCTTCTAGACGCCCACTATACTCATCGTCTTCGGTGCACTTATGTCTTATACGGCATGCTTGGTCGGTCCGCCTGGCACATAGTCCAGACAATACTCATCAAGCCACTTTTTGGTATTAACAGCTTTTTTCATCATATAATAGTGTTTAACCTTGGACATTTATTTTTATACATTCCTTCACCTTTCCTTCTTCGATACCCACGAACTAATTCTTTAATTGCTGTGAAATGTATATACACGTGTCTTTTCAAGGAATACAATAAGTTATGAAAAAATGAAAATATTTGTTGTTGTCTCTCCAAAGACAATTCTATGTAAGAAGCTTAAAATTAAATTGAACTTTGTTGTCACCAAGAGCCTGATGGTATATTATACATTTTATTTGTAAAATGGATTTTAGCCATCCGCCGTACTGTCTTTCCCATAGTAAACATTGAATTAAGTCTATGAAATTTTGGGCATGACACAAATTTCAATAACAGAAACCACATTCTCAAACTTAACAGTTCACAGCAAAGCAAATTTATAAATCATCCATAAATATTTTAAAGATATCCACGAATAATGAGCAAGTAGCCTTAACTGCGACTTTTATTATTCAAATAACTTTTCTATCTGTGTCGAATCGCTTATAAAACGTACATACGTATATACTTTTATAATTTATATCGCCATTCAATCAAACTCGATTGACAACTGAGCTGTTGATTTAACAAGATTTACACTATTTTATAGAAGTGACAAATTAAAGGCAATAAATTTTGAAAAAACCGATCTTCAACAAATCAAAAACTTCTAGAGATCATGTCAAATGTGAGCTACACTACAATTACTACGACAACAATTCTAATCCAGCAAGATACGCCGTTCGTCCCTTGATATCGTCACTTTGTGCATTGCCGAAGTTGCATTAGATCAATACTTTGATTCCGACACTGATCTTGGGTGTGAAAAATCACTTGAACAATTAATATAAATTGATGTTAACGACATGGATGGTAGCGATAGGAGTACTTACGGCATTCTGATCTGCTTGTGACGACACACTGTCTAGAAATTCTTCCCACGTGCAGTGCATTCGAGCGAAAAACAAATTGAACAAGCGTCGCTTGATCGAACAGGTAGGTGTTTCATTGCACGCCCCCATCAACTGAGGAATGTCCTTTTCATTTCTTTACAATCACAAAACATAAAAGCGAAAATAAAAACTCAACCGAAGCGAACCGACACACTTACATAAGTACACATAGTCGTGCATGAGTCGTATGAATAGAGAAGTGTGAGCACTCGCACAGCGGTTAGTCCAGTTCGCAGCCTCAGTTTCATTCTTAACCATTGATTGTTGTGCTCTGGTTTATTGTGCTACCAAATGATACGCGTTTGTACCTTTTCGCTGGACCAGACAGTGTGTCTACAATTTTGCAGTAGCGGCGAATGCAAGGTGCAAGAGTGCGCATAGTTGCGTTTTTGGTTGTTGTTGTCTAGAAGGCATAGCAATAGCATAAAAAAGGCAACTAGGTATTGTTTTGATGAAGAAGAAGGGAATTGCATGAATGACACAGAAAAATCATCAGTCAATTGAATAAAGAAACCTGTGGCGTTGCACTCGCTTACATACATATAAGTATGTCTATACATACATATATACTATATAATTTATATTGCAGTTTTTGTTTGCATTTAGAAATTTTGGTGTGAGAAAATTTCGTTTGACAAAATATATTTGGACAAAAGAGCATTTGCACCAAGAATTTATTTTCAAGTGCTAATTTTCTATATCTTAACTAAATGTAATTGGTGTAAAATTAACACCGACTTTTATAATAGCATTGCAATTTTTAATTTTAATCATTATAAGTATCTATGATATATACATTTGCTTATTCATTCAGGATACTCAGGATATTCTATGCCATAACAATTTGGTTTAATGCACAGTATGACGGGCGACAACGATTAAGCGGATAGGTATGTAATGTTGTATTCATTTTCGTCCATTGTCGTAAATCGGTGTCAAATGCGCTTCGAAAGTCGAACACGTTTGCCTTTTTGATCGCACATGGCTTAAATCAGGCGCAAAGCCTTTTGATATGTAAAAATTTGGGAATGATACATGTAATCTACGCTTTTGTTTGAAATGCCAATGATATTAGCAAACTGACTGAATTACATTATACTTTCATCCAAAAAAATTTCTTGAATTTTCATGATGTTTTCTAGCGAGTTTGCCAACATGTTTTTGCAAATTTAACAAACCAGACTTGACCCTTGAATATGCTGGAACAAATTCGCCTTAGCATTTATGAAGTTTTGGATCAACGACATTTTTGCTATCAGGAGGCTATTAAAATCTCGAAATTCACTGTTTTCATTGTAAAAAGAAATATCATAGTAATATTATATCTTGAAAACGGTTGAATTTTTTTTATGAACCTTTGACAGTATTTTAGTTAAGTTTAAACCTCTCTCTCTATTTTTTGTGTATTTCTCGTCAGGCCAAAGAATTTTTAGCCCAAGTACTATATATCACAACGGCCAAAGATCGTTATATTTCTTATGATTGAGAGCACCTACAAGTGAAAATACAGCTAATACTAACAAATATTAGTTTTTATACTCTCGCAACATGTTGCTACATAGTATAATAGTTTTGTTCACTTAACGGTTGTTTGTATCACCTAAAACTAATCGAGTTAGATATAGGGTTATGTATACATAAATGATCAGGATGAAGAGACGAGTTGAAATCCGGGTGACTGTCTGTCCGTCCGACCGTCTGTCCGTCTGTGCAAGCTGTGACTTGAGTAAAAATTTAGATATCTTTATGAAACTTAGTACACATGTTTCTTGGTACCGTAAGACGGTTGGTATTGCAGATGGGCGTAATCGAACCACTTCCACGCCCACAAAACGCCATTAATCAAAAACAAATAAATTGCCATAACTAAGATCCACGACAGATACAAGACTGTTATTTGATACACATCATCACATTAGGGAGGGGCGTCTGCAGATTAAAAGTTTTTGTAAAAGTGGGCGTGGTCCCGACCCCTACAAGGTTATATGTGCATATCTCCTAAACTGCTAAAGCTATAATAACAAAATTCACTGAGAACAAATACTTTTAGCACTTCTATCGACAGTGTGAAAATGGGTGAAATCGAGTGGCACGAAAGAGACCTTAAATATTAACTCTGGGATGGCATCAGATGACTTTAAAGGAACACCGTTCAAAATTAGACAGTGGGCGTGGCACTGCCCACTTTTAGGTGAAAACCCATATATTGGGATCAGCTTAACCGATTTCAACCAAATTCGGTGCATAACATTCCTCTCATATTTCTATATTATAGTGCGAATATGTGTGAAATCCGATTACAACTACGCCTATTTCCCATATAACATCATTTTAAATTCCATATGATTCTTTCAATTTTATATAAAAAATAAAATATGCAAATCAAGCAACAATGATTGTATCGAGGTAAAACTTTGCGTGAGTAATGCGTTTAAAGTATGCCACCTTGTGACCAAAAATTGCCTAAATAACTATAAAGAAATCTCAAACGAGTATATCATTTGACTTTGCGATATAAAAAGTTCGGTTACATCCGAACGTAGCTCTTCTTTACTTGTTTATCATTCATTTTATACAAAAGATCCTTTGATGTTGTGCCGCCAGCGACACTTGCAGCCGACATCGCTTACATTCGGAAAATGTCTAACCCTTTGTCGGCATACAACGCCACAGTCGGCCATGTTGATCATTACTGTGCAAAATGCAAACAAATGCGAAATATTTATAGTTAAAACGAACCCCGAGCACAAATGTGAAATGTCAATTTGGTGAGTAATATGGAAAATCATAATTTTGGCGTTAATTATGTTGTCTTCGAAAGGTACTTGTACCTAGAACTTATTTTTACATCGAGCCATTTAATTATTATTATTTATTATTAGGCTTAGCTAATATAATTTAAGATACATAAAATGTTGTAAATAATTATCCGAAACTTTGAGCGTATAGCGAATCGAACAAACAATTTCTTTAAACCACGCCACAGGGACATACTTTAATCAGGATTAAATTAAATTAAGTTACATGATAATTATTCTCGCCGGTGTTTCAAAATATGGATGGGTTAATAAAATCTTAAATTAATAAAATCTATACTTAAACATTATTTTGCGAGTTCAGAAAATATTTTTAATTTAGTAAAATTACGCAGTAAACGCCTCTGTCCGGTTTTTCCGTTCGTTTGTATTTAAGGTTACGCCATTTCGAAAGGCTAGCAATCGATTTCAAGTAATGGTAATGTCATTTGTGAACGACTTTTCAAGGTTTTGAAACACTATGATTAAAAAAAAACATATAACCTAGTTCTAGTTCAATTGTTAATTAAATTAATTTTTAATGCTTTATTTGCAATCATGTTTGTAGATCGGCTCAACACTTTTTGTTGAGATTTTGGTTATAAAGCTGGTCGAAAAATTTATACAAAAGTTCATTAAAAACTTTGAGTAGATGCCTAAAAAGAAAGAAGATCAGCACAAAGCAGCTTCTTCGTAAAAATTTACTACCTGTGATTCTGTTTTTTTTCGAAATTCCTGTATATCTCAATATACATAATTGTAAAAAATAAAATGAAATAAAGAAATCTTTTAAATCTCGGACGCATATGAAATTGAAAGTTATTGTACGGTATCGAAGTTTTTGTTTATTATATATTGAAGTAGCCTCATTTGTACCAAGTTATTCTTCGATCGTTTTATGTCAGTCGTTTCTTTGAAACCACAACGACCTCAGAGGTATAACCGGACTGGGTATTTGTGAGGACCTTAATTGGTTTACTCTCCTATTGCTTACCTAAAATAGTGAGAGTACCAAAATATACATTACGGAAAAGCATCGACTACATGCCGCATTCATTACTATCGCACTTGTTATAGCAAACAAAATGTCAAAATCAGCCAACTGCTCATAATCAGTCAGAATCATACATAGGGGTGTTTGATTGTAGTTGATATTCAGTATGTGTACTAATTTGTTTTCAAACAATTTTATTATGCGACCCTATTCCCTATGCCGTTTTTTGTTTTAAAACGAAATAAGAACGGTTATATGGCATTCTTGTTGAAGTTATCGACACTTATCGAAAATAAAGGTGTTCAACATTTATGTATGTATATATTTAAAGTATGGAGGGACCCAAAATTTAAAATTAAGAAAAATTGGTAAATAACAAAGTAGTGGAATTATTATTATTATTATTGCCTTATTTATTATATACTTAAATTTACAAAATTGTTCAAACATTTTCTTCAAAACAACAAATAACAACGTCAGATACAATGGCGCTATTAGGCGTTATCATACTTTCTTCATTATACCCTGAACAGGGTATATTAAGTTTGCCACGGAGTTTGTAACACCCAGAAGGAAACGTCGGAGACCCTATAAAAAATATATATAAATGATCAGCATGATGAGCTGAGTTGATTTAGCCATGTCCGTCTGTCCGTCCGTCTGTATATATGCAAACTGGACCCTCAGTTTTTAAGCTATCGATCTAAAATTTTGTACCTGCTCTTTTCTCACTAAGAAGCTGCTCATTTGTCGGAACGGCCGATATCGGAACACTTTTTTATTTGACTTAATATCTTCACGAAATTTGGCATGAGTTATTTTCTAAGGTAACAATGTAATTCCCGAAGAAATTGTTTTGATCGGATGACTATAGCATATAGCTGCCTTACAAACTGAACGATCGGAATCAAGTGCTGGTATGGAAAACTTTTTCATTTGACGAGGTATCTTCACGAAATTAGGCATTAGTTACTGTTTGAGGCAACATTTGACGAGATATCTTTCCGAAATTTGGCATGGATTATTATTTAAGGCAACAATGTAATCTCCGAAGAAATTGTATAGATCGGATGACTATAGCATATAGCTGCTATACAGACTGAACGATCGGAATCAAGTGCTTGTATGGAAAACTTTTTCATTTGACGAGGTATATTAACGAAATTTGGCAAAAATATAATCTCCGAAAAAATTGTTTAGATCGGATTGCTATGTCATACAGCTATCATATAAACTGAACGATCGGAGTAAAGTTCCTGCATGGAAAAAATTTTTATTTTTTTTTTGCCGATTCACGAAATTAGATCTAATGGTTTCATGTTTCTTTCAGCTTCCTCAGAACCATAACTCTCTTAGTCAAATAAAAAAAGGAAATCAATTTTAAACGAAATATTTGTTTAATTTTGTATTTTCTGCACTTAATCTTTTCATATTTAACATTTCAAATTGAAAAATACTTGCTTAAACTTAAATATCTTTTAATTTAAATTACATAATTATCTCCTAAATCTTACACATATTTATGTTTATATTCACGTTATATAAAATATTATATATCTACTATCCTATATTGCCTTACATATATTTAGCCTGTATACCTAATTAAAATTTATCTAAGGTATAAAAATAATATTAATATGATTGTTAGAGTTACCGAGTATTTGAATTTGAATCGAACCGTTTCCGTTTTCCTTCGCCCGATTTTGAAACGAATGTATATTTATATCTACTTTACTATTTGAGGTTTATGTGGTATCCTTTTATCTGAATTTATATATGTGGGTATATGTGTATTTATGAGATAAATATGTGTTGATGTATATTTGTATAGGATGCGTAAACAATAACCTGCGCTTTGTTTATGCTATTGACATTGACAACGCTAAATATATATAAAATAAATATTATATACATATACATAAATATATATGTAATATATATATAAATATATATATATATATATTCATTTTTTAACTTTTGTACATATATAGTTTCTCTAGTTAGGTCCTTTTTAAGTAAATATATATATATTAAATATATACACGTGTATGTATATATGAAATATTCGATATAAAAACGAATTTGTTTCTATTTTTGTAAATATTAATAAATTCTCGTGTTGGGCTCTGTTCACGTCAAGTGAATACGATGAGTCGCAAGTTCCTGGCTGCACTCCTCTCGTCCTTCTCACGTCAAGTGAGTTAGATGAAATGCAGTGTCCTGACTGCTTTCTCTACTATATTCCTTGTTATTTCTATATGTGATGTGTATCTTTTTAATATTGCATCCAGAATTCAGGTACAATATAGAGTATATGATTGTAAAAAGTTGTAATTGTTGGTTAATCGGAAATATTTGCTATCAAGTAAAGAGGTCTCTCAGTTGAGGTAGGGGTTGTATTGGATTTCAGGTTTTGTTTATATTCGGGTATTCCGGTAAATTCGCGATCCAGTAATAAATTCATATTTAGGTGTTCGGGAAGACGCGAGATAGTGATGTAGGTATAGGTCCGTTAGAAAGGATATATTGATTTCCACGTTTTGTTTCGAGTATTCGGACATTTGGAAAAGGACACGATTCATTAATGAGGTCGCTTAGTATCCATAGAGGTAGGGGTACATAGGCACAAAAATGGCAGGACCCATTTGACGTTCCTGTGGCATATGGGTCTTCATGTGTTTCTTCAGGTGGTCGCGACGTCCGAATTTCTTACCGCAAGCTGAACACGGATAAGGTCGCAGTCCAGTATGTATGCGTTTGTGACGTGTTAGCTCTTCATTGCGCGTAAAGGTCTTCCCGCAAGACTCAACGTCACATTTAAAGGGACGTTCTCCTAAAAAATCGAAAGTAAATTGATGCAGGTCAGATTTATTTTTCAGTGAAATTTTTTAGCAGTAATATAAATATATTCCTTAACTAATTATGCTTTTTTAAGAAATTTATTTTGATATAGCGCACTTTTCTTTATGCAAAACTTACCGGTATGTATACGTATATGACCCTTCAGTTGTCCATTGTTGGAGAAAGCCACATCACAGTGTGGACACTTAAATTTCTTTGGACGCTGCTTTCTCGCATTGATGGCTTTGAGATGCGCCTCTTCGGCCATAATGCGTGCATATTCCTGCTCCATTAGTCCGAATGCGTATGGGTCCATGCCCACGAAACTGGTGGCCGGCGCAGCGGCAGCACTACTACCCGTGGCTATGTTGGTCGATGATAGCGCTGACGTGAGATGGTTGGGTCTGCTTAAAGTGGCAGCTGCACTCCACATGGTGGCGGGAGTCGGCGCAATTGTTGGCATAACACTATGCGACAACAAGGGGAATCGATTCTGCTGGTGAGCCTCAAAGTTATCTCTGGAATCGGAAAAATGTAACGAAGGCATTGTATGGCGACGAGGAAGTCGTATTCCATAGACATCATCGGTAGATGGATGGGCGGATATTGTTGGGGAGTGACTGGATTCGCTCATAAAATAATTTCCATCGACAGTGCGTTGCATATGCTCCAAGGGTTCATTGTCTTCGCTGAGTTGACTGAAATTACTTTGACTGGAAGCACATTCAGAGATTCGGCTTGTATGCATGTAATCAGCATCGGCCACTTCGAGCTCCTCATCATCTGACTCAGATTGGTCCACATCTGTGGTGACATCCTCGACTTTCAAAAATTCCACCTTAATATTAGCTTCAGCCGTTGCTGGTTGTATTGGTGTGCTTTTACCACTAACAGACAGATTTTGGGGTTCAGAGGGGTTGTTCACCTCCTCGGCGATGACGGCAATGCGTTCATCTTGGAGGTGAGCTTGCGCCTGATCAGCTTCTTGTACTGCTGCTGCTTGAGCTAGTGGTGTTGTACGTTGTGTCGTATCCCAGGGACGGAAGAGACGAGAATAAGTATGTGGGGGATATGGAATTTTTAGTGCAGACATTTTTCTTTTAATTTTAATTTGCACACAATTTGTTTTTACTCTCACTTTTTAAAAATTTATTTTTGCACTAAATATTCGTAATTGACATATTCACGAAACGCGCAGCGTAATGGAAGAAAAATACACTAAAGAAGAAGCAATTCAAAATTCTTGTGAAATAGCCGTGTGGCAGCGCGGCAGGTAAGTGCGTACACTATGAAGTCTTTACAAAAACTGACTGCTTTGCAGCCACAGTCGCAACATTTATGTACTGACGCTGCGAAGGATCTGCGAAATATGCAATCTTTTTTCTCTTTTTATCTACCTTCTATCCTTTCAACACACAGATACTTACAACTACTTGTGCAAGAATACAAACACAAAGCGAAAAACGCACACACACACACAGACGGCTTGTGTTCACACTTTTATACTCCACCCTTAAACGCGCGTCTCCATTGAATTCATTCATGAACAAGAGCAAAACCCTGCGGTTTTGTCGTATCCCTATAACTTGCCTTGACTTGCCTTCGATTGGTGTGAGTGGCAGGAGTTACCAGCACCACATGTCTGTCTGTCTGTCCAACTGGTCGTTGGCTGCATGCCCTCTGTCAATTCGCAGACAAGCGTGCACGCACACTGCCATACAGGGGCACACCAATAATAAATGCCGAAAGTCGGGGATGATTTTTACAGCAATGGCTGCTGCGCTTCTTCCTGCTTTTAGACGCTACGACTTTGCGGCGTTGTTGTCATGCTTTGCGAAATAAAATTTATTACTTTGCACTACGTTTGTATATGCGTATGTATCTACTTGATAATTTTTTACATTGTTGTTGTTGTATATACATGTATATGTGCGCTGGTATATCGTCGTAATTATAGTTTGGTGCGACCATCGAAAAGTCAATGCGTTGCTTTGCAGACACATTTTAAGTAACGGTCTTTTTTGTGAGTTTTTCGATTATGAATTTTACGCTTTCCCACCGACAAACCCTCCACTGGATGTGCAATTTTTGTAAGAAAGTTGTCAGCCTCCGTTCCAACCTACCCCCACCCCTAGCAGCCACCGTCACCGCAACAGCATATCACGCGCCTCATGAACTCTCCCCTTGTAACGGTTTTGTTGAGTGCTTCGAAGTTTTGGCTACTGTTATTGTTGTTTTTGTTATTGTTAGCGATACCGAATTCACATATCAAGTGGGTTTCTGCCATTTGCCGTAGCTGTTGTTGTTGTATGTATGTGTGTAAACTGTTACAATTCTGGAGGTGGAGTGTGCATATTAAGCGCGCCCTCTGATTTTGCGGGCATGTCGCAACTTATGGTGCCGCACTAAAATGCTGAGGAACGGTTCGGTGGATTCCATTTTGCGTCATTCTCATAATCATCAACATTAAATGCAATCATGCTTATTGCTGGGGCCTGAGTTTTCCGTTCGATTTCCTATTTAAGCTAAAAACTTTAGATTTTTGTCGTTAAAGAAAGTTCGCGAATTTCTCAAAGCGTGTTACCACGTCCATAACTTTGAAGTTACAACAAACTTGAACTGTAAAATAATTAATATTTGGGCTCTAATAGGATGAATTAAGGATAAAATGGGAAAATGAGTAACATTGCATAATAGCACCGCCCACCCCTCATACAATTGTTATGTTCAAATGTACTAAAAATTGCATTAAATTCTAACCAAAACCGTCGAAATAATTAAATTTAACCGTAAATATTGTACAGAAGTATTCTTGTGAATCGATCTATAGGCTGCATAATGGGCGTGGTACCGCCCACTTTTCGGTAAAGTGCATCACAGAGCAACTACCCGATTTGAACAGCGTTCTCCTGCTTCTCCTGATGCCCTTATGTTATAGTTTGAAAATTGCCTGAATACAATCGACTATAATCTACTATATGACATTATTTTAAGTTCCAAAAAATTTGTTCAATTTACAATAAAGGAAGGGTCAATAAAGATATTCAAATGAAATTTATCACTCTCTATACCTGTAATTGTTTTTTACCAAAAATAGCGCTCACTATGCTAAGAATTTCGGTATTTATACCAAATATATCGGCCAATGTGTAAGATACCTTTAAAAAAAATTAAGTATACTTGTAATATTGGATATACTGTAGTTTTTAGTGTCCTAATTGGTTGAGATCAGTCCAGACCTTCTCCCAGCGGCAATATATCCAATATTTTGATTTAACTTTCTTTTGACTTTGTGCCGAATAAAAATGATAAAATTTCATTTGCATTATGTGATTCGGTAGGTTTTATGTAATATATTAAAATGGTCGGGACGCCCGCTGCATTCGCGGTCATTAATAACTATTATGTATGTACATAAGGGAGGGTAAACAAAAACATATTTTTTTTGCTTGATACTCTGAAAAATAGGTTCTCACGTATGAGCTTTTAATTGTAACGGGAAGGTCCTCCGCATACAGTGTATGACAATGGATATCTCGTAAACGTTTAACTTAAACGAAAAATGATAACAGACCATTTTGTAGAGCAGTAAATTTTGTACAAAACTGTGACTTTTCCTATTTATAATAATTTTTTTTATTAAGTTATAAAATTCATAGTAGCAACTAATTTTTTCCATAAAATAATCAAAATTTATCGGTTAATATCGTATCGTAAAAGACCATTTTGTAGAGCATTCTATGTTCACAAAATCTATGATAGATATTTTTCAAGTAGTTGGAAGCTAGATGCCTACCTAAAAGTTTTCTTGATCCTTAAGCTTTAGGTTTTTATCAATGTTATTTATAAAAACTCTGCTTATCGTTTGGTTGCAGGCTTTGGATTCCACAAAATTGTATTTTATTTATCTTTTAATCAAATAACAAAATTATGTTGAAAATCATACAAAATGTGTAAAGAAAATAATAATATTAGTATTTAAAAAATGTAAGGATCACTAAATTCAATTTTGGGATTATACATACATATGTAGGTATATACGCGAATCTGTTATGATCCTTAAATTGCTTGGGGTTAGTCAAGGTCTCTCCTGTCACCTGCCTTCTTGGGATACAAAATATAGAAGTTTCTTCCGCATATGTGGACACGTATCTTTTTTTTCCATTAAACGCATCATAATATCTTTTTCATGTATTTAAATATTATTGACGCCAGCTGAGCTGTAAGTGTTACAAAAACAATATTACGTCAGAAAAGGTTGGCAGGTATGTTTTGGAAAAGTTCTATTTTGGGATTTCATCAATAGTCTTACATAAATATTGAAGCCTTTTCACGTATATTTTATCTATCATTAAGGAGTTAATTCTCGTTTATGTTGGGCGTTTTCTAAGAAAAATTATTCCATTCCCTCTTTTGAAAGTACTTATAACTAAATGTTGTGGCCTTGCAATTATAAAATTCATAAAGACCTAACATACAAGTAAACTGTAAAAGCTTTAGGCCATTAAAAAAAGAACACAAAACTCAAGTAGCAGGTAGACGAAAATTTGCGCAAAAGACTAATGAAAATATTTACAGATTTGCTCAGAAACTCTATTGTTTTTGTTTCGTCTTTTTTTAGTAAATCAAAATCATCTAGAGACGCTGCGACTGCAGTCAGTTATGATACCTTAGATATATGTATATACACAGTACTAGTACTTTAACCAAGGAAATTATTGTCCGTACGCGGGAGGAATTCAGTGAGATGTTTAGCTTTACCGTTAATGCTCTTACATTCTTAGTCCTCTGTACTCTGCTTTTCTCCCAATATACATATGAATGAAAATCGGGTTCACCTGCTAGCTTCCTTAATTTTAAGTGCTTTTCCGGAGAAACTCCTTTTATTACTGGTGGCTTAATCTCCCGAAAAAATGGTCAAATACTCAGCAAAGAGTCGATTTTGCCGTATAGTGTTGTTATAAGCTTAAATGACTAAAAATATTATTTCTACGTATTAGTCTATTCGGATTGGTTATTCCGATTATATATTTTAATTGATCATCTTGTGAAATTTCGATATTCTGAATAGTTTCATTCAGAAATCAAATAATAGTCGTCTCTAACTCGTCACTTTTCTTCTCATTATTTTTGAGCTCTGCTCTCTTGTAAAAAAGTACATGTGAAAGCATCAAAGTTATCCAGTTGAACCTGGTATAATACTACAGTATGTGAATACCTCATTGAACTGGTATTATATCCAATATATCTTTATTCCTTTATATAAAGTTATTTGAAACATATCACTTGTTGGTTCGACTCGCATACTCAAATGATAAAACAAATGTGTTTATGTGTTGTTATGGCATTATATTTACAAGTCCGGCTATATTTCACTTTACCACATATTTATTCCGAAGGTTTTTTAAACTTGGTTGCCTCATTAATATGCAATGTTGAGATGGAAGAATTGATTCTTCATCCATATGCCGTTCATAGTAAAATTCAGAGCGAACAGAGATGTATTTTGTAATTAATTGGAGCCAATTTCGTCACTTAGACCATCTTTTTCCGAAATGCGTTTTATGTAGATTCCCAAATGCATTCAAAACATGAGTTTTCCAAACGCTTAAATACATACTTACGTGTAAACCAATATCAAAATAATTTTCCATTAATAAATGCGATCAATATGTGAATGTCTTTGTATCTACAAATGTGCTATAAATCTTAATCCTTTCCATATACTCATATTTTCGTTATAATAGCTTAGGCCAACTTGGCCAACCAATAAAGGCTATAGTGGATATAATACTAATTGCTGATAATCTGTGGGTTTTTGCAACGAAAAGGGTTACTTGTCCTTATAGTAGCCGCACATATTACATTTAACAATAGCGTAAATCCGTCTTCTAAAATATATTCGGAACGCCTCGTATGGTAGACTTTTACAAAGAAATCCGCTAATTACGCAAGCCATGGAGGCAAGGTAAGATTCATATTTTCTTTAAAATATGTAAGTAGACATTACTGTATTTAGTATTTGCCCGTAGACGCATTTAATATCGGAAAATCCCTTATATGCAATTTTAAATGCCAAACTACTTTGCGTAAGTGATTTCTTTAAGACACTTACCTTAATGGTGTATCCCAGTAATAGAAACAGATCCTAGGCCTAATTCAATGTGGTTACCAAAGAACTGAACTTGTACTAGTTGCATTTTGTCTTTGAATATACCTTAAATAAATACGATATTGCACTTTTGACAATAATTTGCTAGTTAAGCCATTCACAATGGTAAAACTGATCTAAAAAGTGTAAAACAAAGCTTGGTAACACTGAAGCTATCGGTTACACTACTAAAATGAGCTCTCTTGTATCGAATCTAACTCGATATTTTCGTTGTTATACTC